GAGTAGTGTAGTAGAAGTACGAACGGTGCCACGAACCCGCTGCTCGGTCGGTGTTGTTGATTAGCTATGTGATAAGTGTAGATTCCGAAATGTATTGTGTTAATCCGTGTCTCTAGTGTTTTGATGGTCACACTTCACCCAAATAACGCCCACGAAACCAAGACCCGGTAGCAATGATGTCGGGGAGAAAGACCTAACTTCGACATATAGAATATGGAAACTTTACTAAAAGTAAATTATTTGCGGTATATCAGTTGGTGAGGTAACCTTGTCTAGTGTCCTGCCCTTCCACCAGCCGCGGCTGTCGCCCTCCTTGCTGAGCACGAGCAGCTTGGCGCCGGGGCGCAGCGCGAGCTGCGACACCTCCAGCGGACGGAAGTCGTGGATCACCGTTGCTACCACCCGCCGGAACGGCCAGCGAAGGTTCGAGTTTAGACTGAATTACAAAAAGACTCAAAAATTATAGCGAACACGAATATAAATAATTTCGTAATTTTTTCATACATTCGCCACTATTTATCGAAATCCAAATATAGAAGTAAACTGACCCAACAAAGTTCTCAGCGAGGCTGGTGAGCTCGTAGTAGGAGACGAGCTCGACGACGCTGCGGAAGAAGCGGGACTCCGAGAGGTAGTAGTGCGGCACCTGGTCTATAGGCTTGCGGCACACGCGCATGTGCTTCACTGTATTGTCCGTCCTAAATAATCAACAAGGGTTAGTAACTTAGCCTCTATATGTATGTATATTCGATATGATAATGAAGTTACTTGAGTGAAAGCGCATAGTGCGTGTCTGTGGGCGAGTGCAGCGCGGCGCGCGGCCGCACGCGCAGCAGGAACGTGCCGTCCACGCGACGCTCCAGACGGGCAGTCGCCGTCTCACGACCCATTTCACCCACATACCTATATCATACATTATTCTACACTATTCTCTTTATAAAAATAGATATTAAATAGCGTGTTCTTTTAGCTTCATATTAAAAATGGTCCTTCGAGTCGGATTTTACAATTTTTAACTCAAAAATAAAGTTGTTATTTGAATATGCATCAGAAGAAACATGTAAATGGTCGATATTGTTGAATGTTTGTGTGGTACTGACCACATGTAGTAGTGAAGCGCCTGGTCGGGCTGGTGCGCGTGCGGCGGCAGCGGGGGCGCGGGCGCGAGGCCGCCGCCGCAGCGCCCCGACAGCGCGATGCAGTCCTTGTGCGCGCACGCGTTGCACACCGAGCACAGGTAGCCCTGTACACATCGCGGGACATTTGTTGGACACGTATAGAACAATATATCATCACACTAGCTGTTACTCGCGACTTCGCCCACGAGAATTTTTTAAATCGGACAAGAAGTTTTTGAGTTATTTCAATACATACAAATCTTTTCTCTATATAAGTATAGAATACTACACAAGCCCATAATTCATTCAAAAATAAAAATATATTCAAATAATCCAAATATAAAATTGTAGATATTTTACCTGAAATATCCTGCCTTTGAGAAACTTGGAGCAGTGGTGGCAGGTGGCGGGCTTGTCGAACGTGTGCAGAACGAACTTGTGATTGGTGCTGCGGCATCCGGAAGGTTCCAGATTGTCTCTACAAACGACATGAAAAATATAGTAACTCTCGCATATAACAAGATTAAAACAAATAAAAATGTGCTCTTTTAATCGGATATCGGTGTTAGGTTGTCGGAGAAAAGTTTACCCCTGCATTTTTTCACATGCTACTATACCCAAAATTATTATCGACATCGTATTTTATGTGAATTTGCACGTTTTATCTTCACTTACATGGCATCTTTGATGGCCTTAATCCACTTTCGGCGGCAGTCGTCAGTGCGCGCGTACAGTGTGAAGGTGGCGCGCTTGTTGCGCCGCACGAGGTAGAAGTGCGCCGCCCACCGCGACTCCCCGCGCAGCGTGCGACGCGCGCTCGCCTCCTCCACGCGGTACTCCGCCAGACGCATACCGATACGGTACGAGTACTGGTTATCCTTTATACACAAATAGGTCCGGGAGGTGATATAAAGGACTATATTATAATAAAACAGTTTATTGTTTCACATACACGAATACGATTTAAAAGGCACACGTAAACAATATAAGCAAAAGAACAAAAAGACAAAATGGCGAGCGCGGGGTCAGCACAGCGCGCGCGGTGCTTTGCCTGTGCAGCACGCTCACGTCATCCGTATATAAAATGTTCATCTGTTGGTCGCGTGTGTGTATAGCGTTATGTGGTATATTATAAAATATACAAATGGAATATGAAATAATGTATAAAATAATAAAAATAATAATGTATAAAATATATAAATGATTTACAATAAATGAAAGATAAATAAACACAGTGCAATAGATAAATAATTAAATAAATAGATAAGTACACTACAGAAATATTAAATACTAGCAACACTTAAATTTGCTCTGTTATCGAAATTGAACGCACCTTAATTGGTTTACAGAGCAGCATGAGCTTATCGAAAACGAATACATATCGCGAGCGCAGTTTCTGGTCCTCGTGAGCCTTCACTTTGAGTTCGCCGTCGAGAAGCAGCCGGCCGTACGCCGCCAGCCCCGCCCCGCCCGCGCCTGGGTCCCCGTATTCCCAATCTATTATACTCTCCTATCATAACACAAAATCAAATTAAACATTTAACTAAAATCAACTGACATTTCCTAGAAATTTCTAGAAGGTTTTTCTACCTGTACTTTGGAGAGTAGCGCTAATACTTCGCTGTCTCTCTTCACCTCGTTGATGTACTGCGCCACATCAACCATTGCCTCTTTCGCACGCTCCAGTCCACGGAACTCTTCGTGATTCTGTTATATTATGACAGAGTCAGATCGATATTATCATTGTTTGTGAATTATGTGTGTGAATGATTGGAAGTCATTGTCGTACCGGCTGCGTCTCGTGCACCAGTTTGTCGAGCAGAAGGTGGTACTTTAGCACGCGCTGCATCGGCACCGACAGTATATCGCGTAACTGTATACGCCCATCGCTGTGTTCCTTTTGACATTTCTGTAAAACAAACTTCGGTTGTCTATGTGTTTCTTAAAACAATGACCGTATTAGTGTAATGATCGCATACCACTAATTGTTTAGCGAAGGCGTTGTCTCTGGCTTCTAGTGTTTTGAGGGTGTCCTGTGCGTGTGTAAGATTGGAGCAATAGTCGCCATAGAGCAGCAAGCGTTCGCGCCACGCTAGGAATACGTCTGCGAGCCGCGGCGCGCCCCCGCCCGGCACACACGCTTCTGTCGCTAATCGCAGCTGACGAAGCAGACCAGTATGGGTCTCGTGGAGCTCCTGATCGATCAAACAGTTCCGTATTACGCGATACGAAGTAACTTTGTCTATTTGAAGAGGAATCTTTACCGTATTTTAAAATGCTTAAAGATTTTTCTTTTTGAATTCAGTTCATTTGTTACTCTTGACTAGCTGTTGCTCGCAACTTCGCCCGCGTGGAATTAAGAAATAGTAATAAACATGGCCTATGTTATTCATTAATAAAGTAGATTTTTAATTGTGAAATAATTTTTGAAATCGGCACAGTAGTTTTTGAGTTGTTTCAATACATATAAAAGTACAAATCTATTCTCTTTATAACATTGGTATAGAGAAATGTGTCCGATTCTGCAATTGTCTGTCTTTGCATCTCATCATACATTGTTTATATAAAATTCTTACCTTTATACCAAAGAATATAACTTGCAAATCTTGAGGTTTGAGGTACGGTGTCAACGGCCTCAGGAAGTATTTAATTATTTTACTGAGTACGTCGACGTAATTGCATTCCGTGTCTACGAGCTCCCTTATAACGTAATCTCTCTTCTCTAGACTATGCGACGATGTTGCCAGCTGTAACACAAAATTATTATAATACGTTGATTTTAAGTAAAATTATGCATGCATTGAAATTAAAAATTAACCATTCTAAGCGTAATTTTACGAAACATAGCTACGAGCTATCTAGACTACGAGGCGAATAAAAAATAATGATACCAGAAATAATGAGTGAATGAATAATTCACTGTACGGTCGGAATGTTGCGCGGAACTTTTACTCGACAACGGCCGCTGGGGTTCCTAACTCACTCATGAAATTTCTTTTTCCTCGCACGTTTCGTCACGCTGCCGCCGAAAGTTAATATTTTATCGCAAACGTTGCCGAATAGTTTTCTTTATTTGTTAACATTTTTTAACTTTCAATCTCGCGATTCGAATGCACGCGATTTCGTAACGTTAATTTTCACTACAATAGGATTTCTATATCACAATTGTATGTAGTTTGTCGAAAATGTGGACAAAAGCCACTTGCTTTTTATTTTAGCCGATATTTTTAATACAGGAACCCATTATTTCTGGTAAAACTAAAACTACTAAACCATATAACACTAACTACTCATACTTTACAAAGCCATGTGTTGCCTTAAAAAAATAAGCATTATCTACTAAATAAATTTAAAAACTGCCAACTTATGTATGCCTGAATTAAAATGGGGACTAGAAGTTAGTAGGGTGGTAGCCTTGTTCCAGTTAGATCTTAATTAAGCTTAAGTCTATGTTAGTTGCATAAAATGGAGAGTTATATTT